GTCTGCACAAGACTCCTGACCTCCCAGAACTCATTTCATGGGCCATAGATCCTTCAGAATGAAAACAAAGCAGGCTGCTACCACTTCATCTCAGAGGGGTATGCCATAAAATCATTCTTCTCTTTGTACCCACAAAAGGAGCCCATGGTCCCATCACACAAGCCTTTATTTCTCCTCTTGCTTCAAGGGAGGATTTCACAGTGTCCCTTATTTAGATGGGTATCTTCACACTTCCCTCAGCCCACCTGCACTCCACATCAGCTCATGACAGCCACATGGCATAAAAAATTTTCAGGGTCCAGTCAGATCTATATATATTTCACAGAAAAAGCAAGCCTTTTTGGGAACTGTAAGGCATTTCTAATTCCTCTCAGTTGACTGCTCAACAGGAAAGCTTTCTTTTCCTTACAAGACATAGGAATGGTTTAGAAAGGTTTAAATACTGATTGTCTGAATTAATGAGATTGCTACACACCCAAGTCAGTTTTCAAACAGAAGGTCTGATTTTCACAGCCACCAGTTGTGGGTGCCCACCCTGTTAGACTTTGAAAGTGATAGTGAAAGCAGCCCAAAATCTCCAGTTCGCACTCACTTTTGTAGGAGTGATGGGCACCTAGCATTTCTAATAAACAAGTGCATATTCTCCCAGTTAAGCATCTAGAAAAGGGAATCTTGAAAGAACATTCATTACAGTTTAGCAAAGTGTGTTAGTTTTCAAGGAAGAGGCAAAAGATAGAAGAGCAGATAATACCTTTTCTGCCTTCTTCAGAATACAAAATGTATTTTGTGAAGGATTTTGTCCAGAAGAGACCTGAGTTTGTCATGAGGAAGTAGACCAGCTCGTTAAAAGGCAACTTTCTTAAACATTACATATTCTTGAGCTCAACTTTGCAGAGGTTTGGAAATGTCCAAGAAATTCATTTTTTTTTTCCTCCCCAGAAAACATAGAATACTTAAAAGAAGAATTTATTGGAAAGCAATTTCTAGAATTATATGGCTAAAAGATCAGACAAACAGCTGATGGGTGGACTGCACACTTTAAAATTACTGACTAATCAAGTGAAGGTCACCACAAATTAAAAAAATCAAGCTAAGCTGTACATTAAAAACTACTGCTAAAAGTACATATCAGACTGTGAAATACGGAATCTGTAGAATCCATCTGGCTGGCGTACAAGAGAAACTCCATCTTATTTGGTGCCTAGCAAGTCAGATGGTTCTACTGAACTGTGAAAGTTCTCTCAGTTTATTCCAAGATATAAAGTACTGCAGACATCTGCTTTCAAAGGCTGCCCAGACAAAAAGCTCAACAATTTTGGAACAGAGAGGCTATCAGAGGTAATTAAGTTTATGGTATGCACCAGAGTTACAAGTGGAAAAAAACTATCCTCCATCCAAAACTACAACCATTTCTCCAGAATAGATTTTAGGAGCAATGCAGCTATGAGAAAAGAAAATTAACGTCTACTCTATTCCAGGAGATAGAATCTACTATATTCTTTGCCAGCTATACAGGAATAGTTTTGTATACATTTCATTCTGACCCTGCAGGGCAAACTGCAAAGGCACAGGACAAATTTCTGAAAACTAAAAAAACTCTTAAAAAAAAAAAAAAAAAAAGGAAGAGGTTGAAGATAATTAGTATTATTCACATATAGTTTCCATTAGAGACTAGTACATAAAATGTAACACTGCCTGTTCCAGGAAAAGAAGAACCAATTGCTCTGTGGGTTTCACAGAAGGTTACACATTTTTAAAGAGAAATATCACAGTTATCCCTTTACAGTTGAATGACAGCCCCCTCATAATGCTTATTACAGTACAAATCTTAAATCCTGACATCTTATCTTTCTTTCTTTAGTACACCTACCTTAACTATCATAAGTGTCCCTATGTAGATGAGCCCTTAGATGAATGTGCTTTTCTACACAGGAAGCATTACACTGTAAGCTCAGAAAGTAAGTTACAGTCCATTCACCAGAACATGTTAAATTCCTATTTGGGCACTTTTTTTGGGCACGGTTCACTAGGCACAAAACGGTCTACTCTGATTCTATAAAGACACCTGTAAGGATTTATTGGAAAGCCAGCAGATTATAACTTCACACTACAGTCTTTGTGTATTATCTCCCCCCAGAAATCATTCCAGGCACATCTGACCAATAAGACATAGATACTTAAGTCACTTAAAATTTTTAAAACCTTACTCAAGTTACACATTTTGCTGTTCCATAGATAGATCACATTGCACACACTGTGGCCTCCTTACGTTTTTCCCTTTTCCCCCAAAGTCCCTACGCAAAATCTCCCTAGGCCAGAGGCCCTCCGGTCCCCCACATGCCAGGAGCTCTGTGTGTCATCTCCCATATTCCTGTCCTACTCCTTTCTTCTATTTTCTTC